ACTACAAGGATGGGGAAGGTCGTTCAGTATCCCCGACGAAAACATGGTCGCACTACCCGACATCGAATCCAGATACTGAAGAACGGAAAAGAGCTGCCAAGCGCAGTGGGCAAGGTACAGCAACCGCTTCCAACTGGAAAACCGCCTATGACAACCTCAGAAGGGTCAGAGCACGCGCAGTGAGCCAAAAGGTGTGCTATTGTTGTGGTTCAAACCAACATCACCTGGCTATTTGTCCCAACACTGAGAAGAAGGACGAGTTGATGAACTCATTCTCTCACATGGAGGACACTATGCGCAAGTGCTTCACCGAGGACGACAAGGCAATCATCCGACGTGATGTTGAAAGCCGAAAGAGGAAAGCAAAGTCATCCAAAGACGTCGAAGACGAGGACTACATGGATGTGGATGATGAAGATATTGAACTTCCCGAAGAAGAACCGGAACTAGGAGGTAAGGTACCACCTCACTCTCCGAGAGCCAAAGGTAGACCACACTCGTCAGACTCTGCAAAAGAGGAATACGCGAAAGCGGTCGAGGCAACCAAGAAGGCCTTTGGGAACGCCAGTTTCGTCACCAGATTCAAAGAGCCCGTCGACCTCTTTGACATTGCCGATGACAAAGAAGGAGGAGAGTACAGGGTCGCAAATCACAGGGTTGATAGATCAGGTCCTAATGGAAAGTGGGAACTTGATGCACTTATTCAGGAGGCTGCAGCACTCGGAATAAAGATGCCCAAAGTGAAAGACCTTGTTCCTGACCAACAACAAGTTCACAAGGTTGGATATCGGCAGATTGAGGTGACTTGCGATAGAGGAAGCATCGAGATCATTCCACAGTATGGAGTTACATTCTATGTGGAGTACTGGAATGGACCGAAGAGAGATGCAACTTTCACGGATCCACCAAAGATGAACCCAGCAACTCGCATCGACAAGTTCAGCGAGGAGAGTCAGCGGGTCAACGAGGTTAGCCATAGACTCAATAGACTACTCAGGCATGGAGTGGGAAAGCATAATGGGATTCAATCGCACCGCGGTCGAAAACCTCATGTGTCCCCGAAGTGCAATGAGGGTGGATGGGTGAACATCGATGAGATCCTGGAATATGACCATGTCTTCAACGATGGTGTCGATATCAGTACTATCTCAGGTGATCGGCATCGTCAAGATGTCAAGACAGAGCGATACCAGTATTTATGCAAGGCGATGTGGCATGCAAAGAAGTTGCAGAACAGAGTACGCTATCAGATTGCCGCCATTCGTATCTCAAGGGAGGATGTCTCACTCGAAGAGGAAAGGCAATACTGGGCAAACCTCATGTATTACAGCACAGATGCACCGTCATTTCTGAAGCATGAACGTTGGATCGTTCCTTGTGCAATTCGAGCTGTTGCCTCTCACAATTCTGGAAGAGAGACTGTTCTTGAAGAGGATGTGTCAATATATCCTGTGTGGACTTCACATCTCATTCCAGAGAATGTGGCAATGCAGCTTGGAGGAAGCTTTCACATGACATCGCTTTCCAATATTGAGTCAATCATGAAACTAGGAATTGTCCCTGGTGGAACGGAGGGATATAGAGGTAGTGTTTTCTTCAACCACTTTGCGCCGTGGGATGATCGATCATCAAAGATTCTGAGATCAAGATGGCCAAGAGTGGGAATGCCCGTTTGCCTTTATGTTCCAATCATGACTTTGAGGAAGCTTGGGGGAAGAATTTCGGAGAATTCCTACACTGTTGTTTTTAGAGAAGTTCCATGGAGATGTGTACGAGGTGCTTGGTATTGGGACGACTACGTTCAGGCATGGAGGAGACTCCTGCTGGGAAGCACTGGAGAGCAAGTTGTTCTAGCGGCACATCATGGACTTTGGGTTGCTCAGAAGCATACCATCCTCGAGAGAGCCGACGAAGTCACGAAGTCAGCCTCGGCGACAGATGACAACGTCCAAAAGCTCGTGTCCCTTATCGATGAAGTACAATTCGATGGCAATGGAGAGCTGATCGAGGATTCCGTCAGTGAGGAAACTTGGGACGAAATCATCTCCAGAACATGTGAAGGGTATCGCAACGTGGATGGCAATATTTTGTGTCCATCATGTATGCATTTGACTTCTTCATCTTTGTCCGTGTGTCTATCTTGTCAAGGCAGGCTACTCTCGTGTGGTATTCGCAACACTGTCATTTCCGATTCACCCGTTGATCTTGTGAGCGACGATGAAGAGGAAAAGAAGGAAAAGAAGGAGCCTGAAGATGATGATCAAGATATATTGGACCAGGCCACTATGGACGAGATCAGAAAGGCTTGTGAAGAAGACATCGCTCAAACTGAAGCAGCTGACGACGACGAGGACATGGACAATCTAGATCCTTCCAAACCGTCTGATGGTGCAGAAAACTTCAAGAGTGACAATGTCGAGACCCCATCTTTCAATGAGGACGAGATCGACTACGGTCGTGATTCTGATCTAGAAGATGAAGACGAACAAAACGTGATCATCGAGATCCAGAGGAGCACACAACAATATGAGGGGAAGAAACGTCAAGATGGTGAGCCCGAGGATGAAGACGTCACCGACGACTTACATCCGGAGGCGAATCGACCGACAGATCGTGATGAACCGGGATACTATGCACAGCATGGAGCGACCGAGTTCAATCCCGAAGAAGGAAGAGACAACGAAGATCTCCCCATCTATTGTCGAGTACCGGAACCTCGAATCTATGCGCATCAAGAGAGAGCCTACTGTCAGGACGTCTCCGTGAATGCATCGGGTTTGATGGATAGGTATGTGGTCAAATGTGTGCTGAACATGATCTCCCTGATGTACAAGAGCTACTATTGCACCAGCCTTACCGACTTCAAAGCAAATTGGAAAAGGAAGCGTCTGGATGTGATAAGCAAGTTCGGTACAGGAGATTCCACTGAAATCGATGACGATGGGAGACCATTGGATCCAACAGATGATATGATGTTAATCTTTGCCAACGACAACAATATTACAACTGAGGAGGCCTGGCACCGATTCAGAGGAGAGCAATTCATTTGCAAGGTGGCACTCGTGATCCTATCATTTGGTCATACTCCGCAATCCTTCAAGAAGGAATATGGCAACTTCGAATACCCCACCAACTTGACTGATGCCCAGCTTGAGGAGTTGAAAGCGAAGAAAGCCAGCGCAATGACTGAATTGGTACAGAAGTGCATCCATGCGATTTATGGGTGTCGGACATATTCTTACTTTAGAACCGACGTTACATCACCCTACCACAAGGTGATCGATCCTCTGAACATCATGTACTCGAGAATGAAGAGCAAGTGGGAGAAGTCTATTCTGTTGATCATTGATCAACATGAGATCAGGTTGCCCCCACAAGCTCAGGAAGTCATAGAGTCAATGGCCAGAAACCCCAACGTTGGACATACAGAGAGATGGATGAGCGTGGTAGAACATAAGCATGTTCAAGCTCTTACCAATCGTCTAGGCTTTGGAGATAGGGCCAAGGAGATTCAGGGCAAGAAGAAGCAGGCAGCCAAGGCAACAGCTAAGTCAACATCAACGACTAAGTCTGAAGCGAAAGCAGCATCTTCGTCAAGAGCTGAGGCAAAGCCAGCATCTACACCCAGAACCGAGGCCAAGCCGTCGTCAGCACCAAGTGAGGAGCCAAAACCTTCAACAGCACCTAAGAGTTTCGGGCCCTCATCAGCAGAGGAGAACAAGGCGAAGGCTGCTCCAAAAGCCAGACCACATGATAAATCACCATCCAGTGCTACCGATGTGTTTGAGCAAGCTTTGCAGGAAGATCTTGCCGCCAACGCACATGCAGCAGAAGGTACAACTTCTTCATCATCCCGAGGACATTCCAAAGGAGGAGGCCAATCTGGAACATCTTGGAGGCCGGCGCTAACGCAAGAACGTCGCGAAGTACCTCAACCTTCTGAAAAGGGGAAGGGAAAGAGCAAGTCCAAGGGAAAGTCCAAGAAGGGAGAAGATGATCGGTGGGATGCTCAGGGCAGCTGGGATCATCGTGGATGGAGAGGTTATCGCCAGTGGTGATTTCTTTGAACGACTATGAGGATACCATGCAAACCAGGGAGGAAATCATTCACCGGATGTTTATCTGACCTGAAACGCTGTAAGTGTATCGTTGCAAATCCGGATTGACGATTTGATACCATGAGCATAATGGAAGGAAGACAATCACCGACTGTCTCTCCGACTTGCCGTTCTGTAAGTGTATCCAAACCAAAACCTACATCTTTTGAGAAGTGTGAAGTCAGTCGCCGATGTGACATCTACGTGGAAGTCACCAGTTCGGATCTACATCAAAGCGATGCTCTTTTGAGTGGATACTGAGCGAGGCCTCGTGACTGTCTCACTTGTTCAATTCGATTTTCATAGGTTCTGAGCCATAGTTGCACACTTTATATGTAAAAGTCCGCTTTAGTCCAGCATGTTTCGTAGTATGAGCCTCATATGAGTCTCGCGGCAAATCATACAATTTCTTTTGTAGCACTTACATCCCTAAATTTTCGTGTGTGATCGGAACATATTGTTGCCGTTCACATGGGGGGTGCGGATGGAAGTGCAGCAACACGTACAGTGCAACTTGTACATATATATGTACCATATGTACTTTGGCTCAAGGATCAAGCGACTAGAAAAGGTGCGGTTTCCGTTCCGACGCTACGCCGCTTATGGACCGTCAGTGATAGCTTCAAACTTCGCTGATTAAGATCCACTCGCATTTATATATAATTACACATGTATATAATACTTTATTTGTGCGACCATGTTTGCGTTTAATGGCAATGGTTGTGATTTCGTGAGGTGCAGAAGAACACCTTCCCGGAAGCAGCTGATCAAACAGTTTAAGGAACAGGGAGCCAACCACCGGGTGAACAGGACTTTCTTCGCCGACCTGCCAGCCACGAAGGGAGAGTCATGTTCCAACGAAGTGTTCGTTCACCGGCGCCGATCGCTCCACCCGTTTTCCAGGTGAGCGCTTTTCCCGGCTTCGGGCGGCGGTGGCGCAGGACCCCAAGGCTGGGTGTTGCGGCGCCAAGGGTGGAGAAGAGGTGGAGAAGTGGCTGGTTGTGTACCAGGGACCTTTGTCTCGGGTGTCTAATATCCCCTTAGAGGTTAAGGGATGTCCATTAACCACCAAGAGTTTCTCCTATATCACCTGCAATGGACCACCTCCCGCAACTCACTGGGTGGAAGTCACCACCCGTATCCATCCGATGAATCGTCGCTGGATTCTCTCCGCCCAGTCATCCTGTCGTCCTCTCTTTTTCCAACGCTGGTCGTCCTGGTTGAGGCCTTGGAAGCCTTCCTGGAGGAGATCACCAAGGAGAATCCTCAGCTGATGAGGCTCATCAGCATGTACGAGGAGGAGAGTTCCGTGCGCCGCACAGACGTCGACGTGCTTTTGTTTAATGTTTACTTGTTTCGGGACTTCGAGGAACTGATGGTTTCGGAATTTTGCAGTCACCTTGTCCAAAGCAGTCATAGCCTTGGCATATTCCAGAAGATCACGCTGAGCAAATCGCATGACATAGTTTGATGTGTTGTCCTTTCTGAACTGTTGAATCCTAGACGATCGATGACACAAACATGACGTATACACTCACCACGAAAAAAACACCCAATGGACGGAGCTGATTGTAGCCAAAAAAATGGACTGAATCATACTGAATCTAGCGTATTCTATAGCTATGTGGCTCGTCTCGAACGCACGGATGACCATTCCAGGACTTCTTAACGATGCTCACCGCGAATTTGCTCGAGGCGGTTTTAGCGACCGTGGTAACCGGAGGGATCGGAGCTCATTTGGGCGGTTTGGTATAGCATAATATATGATCAACCACCATCTATTGATCAAACAGACAATCAAACCGTATGTGATGTATATCAACTACCATCATATATACTTATCTAATATATGATCAACGCCCTAGGGATCCAAGCACCTTCTCAGAAGGTACTTGGACCAGTGCCGCTGCGCCCCACGCCTACGGGTCACCGGCCTGGCTCGACAGGCGAAAGTGCCTGGCTCGCCCGAGGCGGCCAAGACCCAGGAGATGTGGGACCGGCGGTCTTCCAGAGACGTTGAGGGTGGGGCTGGGGGGCCACCCGCGCGAAGTCCGAAACCAGCATGGAGAAAGCTGGGGCTGAAGGGAAGCCCGAGCTGGAGCTGGTTTTGGGGGTGGGATTGGAGTGGTTTCCTCATTCAAAAAGAAGTAGCAGGAAGGATAAAGGTGACACAAATGGTTTTTCGACCACCAGAGCCCATCAGGTTCCCAGGTCCCCATCAGGTGGCTTGACACACACCGAAAGAAGGACGAGGACAGTCACCGCGAAGTACACACACTCCACACTCCAAGCCCAAAGACCCATGAGGAGCGGGCCAAGCTGTGAAAATTATACTGTTGTAGTTATGTTTTCTTTAAGTCTATATGATGTTCATTAGTTACTAAAGATGGAGTTTATGTTCTATGTTCATTGTCCCCACTCAACAGATCAGGCGTTTTGCAGGTGTATTTGGTCTGGACTTGGGGTGGGTGAACTTTTCAGACTTTTCTTGCAGAGAGCAGAATCTGTCACGGTCCGTTCAGAGAGACCTGCAGAGACGGCAGGTAGCCGTTCTGTTCCATCGAAGCATGGCGATCCATCGAAACATGGCGATCCATGGATCCCGCCCAGCTGCAGATCTGAGTTACACCAGACCAGCCGTGACCCACTTCAATACAACACCCTGGTGTATTGATGTATAACAGATCTGATTCTGAGTCTTGAGGTATCTTGAGGTATCTTGAGGTTCTCATAACAACACCGTGGAAGACCTTCAAAGCTTTCACTGGAAGACCTTCATCGCTTCACCAGGAGCCCAATCCAATTCCACCCAAGCCCAGCGCCAAGCAGAAGGCAGTGGGGCATGACCTTGTTTCAGAGGTCACAGACACCAAACCATCCCCGTCACATAGCATCACAGAGCTATAAAGATAATTTTCTTCGTATCCCTTGACTAATAATTGTAGTACAAATGAGTCGTTTGCTGCTCATCAGTGTAGAATGTAAGCCAATAATTCACAGCAGTTGTAAGCGATTACCGACAAACCGACCAACTTCCTGTCGATAAGTTACGCCAAATTCCTCCCAACCTGTCGAAGGCGAGTTGCATTCCGACTTTGGCTGACACCATGCGACCATTTTCCACAGACGGCGACACGTGGTGAGACACGTTTGGATCGAAAGTAGCCAGGCCAAACAGTGTGTATATGTGTGGAACTATTAATTAATATTACATATATATATATGTGTATGCGACATGAGAACCTGCGATGTCTCACTCCATGCTTGACTGAAGAAACAGCCACTTGGAGGCTGAACAGAAACCCATGTCCAACTGTCCAATGTACGTAGATGTTTTCATGTTTCATATTGGTCAACAGGTTTTGTATCTATTTGGGGTGATCATGAACGCAGAAGGAGAACCACGATATGTTAAGACCGGGACCCACAGCGTTGGGGTTGCTGGTTTTTGCGAGCTGTCCAAGTTTCAACAGGCCAAGCGAAAAGCCGGAGTCCCAGAGCAATTGTGTTGCCAATTGAATGGATGTCTGACTGACATGAGTGTCCAAAGGAAACACAAAGAATCTATCAGGTACAAGGCATCTATCAGGGAGAACCTCCCAGGTGATTGAATTCCTGTGCGTTCACGGTGATCATAGTGGTTTCCTCGAAATTATGATCACAGGCTCATAGATGCTGTGGTGCACAGCAATTTATATGAGGTTATTTGGGTCCATGAACTTGTGGATATAATCTACCCTTCAGTTGGCTCGCAGAATAGAGAATCAGGGGTTGCTCCTGAACCACAGGTGACCTACCAGGTACCAACTAGCTGGTGGTAGAGTAAATGGATTTGACAGATGTTGGCAGACTGTTTGAAGGGGATGTTTTGTGGCTGGTGCCTTGTAAATCACTATGAGACATTATGAGACTATGTCTATTTTCGGACCTTTTTATCAAACACCCTCCACCTCACTCTCATCCGTCCTCCAACATCTTTGCAAGTTAAATCTCCCAACCAGCTGCCTCACCCGCAACATCCCCACCCGTGCCCGGCATGGTGCCAAGACGCCAACGCCTCTGTCGTGCCAACGCCGAGATCTTGCAGTCGCTGCAGCCGACCAGCACCACGTCGCACACCATCGCCTGGAGGGCCGAGTCCGACGTCGGACGCGCGTCCCGCCGTGCTGCGCCTGCGCCGGGCGGGTCTCCTGGAGTGGAGCTGGGGAACTCGTTGAGGGGTCACATACCGCTACTGCTAGTGAAAAGTACTGAAAAAAAACTCTGGGATGGGGGGAGAAGATGGGTGTTGTTTGGATTTGAATGCTTATCCAGCATCTCCTACTGCGGTTTGTACCACCAGAGCCAAGCGCGCCCGAGCCCGGCTGGCCATGGCTCCCGTGGCCTATGACCCCCTTCCACAGGCAGAGCTGGAGATCAACGTGTGGCAAGAGCTTGAACAGAAGAAGCTTTTGGGGCCGAACAGCAGGATATGGCTCCAAAACTTTTGTTTCTCTCCATTGGGAGGGTTATGGGGACTTGCTACTTTAGCATGCTGCATCTATGGCCTGGTGCGACCGAACGAGGCCATCTCCGAGATTGTGGGACGGAAAGTTGTGTGCATGGCAGCAGCGATGGGAGGACTAGCTATAGCATCTGCCATGTGTGCCACACGGGCTGCTGAATCACTCTTGCAGAGTGAGGCATTCCAGAAGCTACTGGCACGATGCGAAGCTGGCCACCAGTTGCCAACTTCCTTGAGCATCTTGAGCGGAAACAGACGACATGATTTTGACTGTCGATGCAATGGAGACCTGGTCCAGAGGCTTTTGCGAGAATTGTTGGTTGGTACGCTGCTGGCTTTGGCATTGAGCCCAGCTTTTTCATCAGATCCCATGTACTTTATTGGATGGCTGTTGCTGTTCGGCTGGATTGTTCTCTACGTACCTGGCCGCACTAGTGTGCGTTGGCTGCTTTTGCACTTGAGCCGAAATCTTGTGGAACAATTGATGAAGAATATTGCCGACGGCCCTGCTGCATGGAAGCACAGCGGACAGTTCTGGGAGGAGATGACCAAGGCACACCAAGAAATGGATGGCATGCTTGAAAATGCCTGGGCACTTGCCATGTGGTTTGTGATACCTGACATAAGCACGACGATTATTTTTGGAGTCATCGGTTTGGTGGCCTGCTTGTCCACCGTGGTCACCAGTCACAACATCCTCGTGGCATTTGCTGGATTGTTCCTGATTTGTTTCAATCTTCTCAAGATTGGCCAACAGTTGATGGACATGGCCAGCATCACTCAGATGTGCATGTCTACTATTGCCGGGACGAAAAGCATCCTGTCTTATGCCATTGCAAAGTCAGGGCCCAGTCCTTGCAGTGAAGCTGCTTTGAAGTCAGCCGGATATGCCTCCCGCGCTGAAGAGCGAGCTGATCATTCCAGGTTTTTGACTTATTTGATGGTGAACCGTGCAGGTGTTGAGATGTTTGGTGTTTTCATTGACATGGAGCTGATCACGCGCTTCATGGGCCAAGCTACCACAGGCTTTTTGGCACTCTTGTCCTACATGCTGGCCAACCTGGATATCACGACGGAGGAGGTACTGTCAAGTCTGGAAGACACTGGCCGCTACGTCTCGGACAGCTTGGCAGACACTGGTCGCTACTTCTCGGAGATGGTTCACCTGAAGTGATTTTCTCCACATGTTTTCGTGTTGGAACTGGCAGAGCGACAGAGACTCTCCTCACTGCAGAACGAAACGAACAATCGACAAACCAACTCACAGAGCATCAAGATGCATCAAGGCATCATCATGGAGTGTTCAGGCCTTGGTTTGCGACACATGATATGCAGAGTCCATCTCAAGCCTTTGTCCACAACCTGGTAAAGTGATTCAAAAAAAGATCTCAAGGATGTTTCTGACATAGGGCTTGACCCATGATTCAACAGCCCTAGGCATCTCCCTAGGCATCCACTTGTGAGGAGTTGAAAAGTGGATTGGACTTGTATGGTGTTGCTGCCATTCCACATTCTTGAATATCTCATCTTCCACTGAGCCATTGCCAAATTATGGTTTTGTATACAGTACTGGAGTTAGTTGATGTTATAATACTGGTAGTTGGAGACGGACTTGGAGTTTCACTCTGCAAAAGACATCAAATGCTTTGATGGATCCAGGGTGCCTGAGTAGCAGCTGGCACGCCTTGCGTCGGGCCACGTTGGCGCCACGTTATCAAACGCTACGCTGTGCCGACCCAGGTCACATTGCACAGCCCTTTTAGCTGCGCCGTGTGCAAGGCCTTCGTAACGTGTGAGATCAGGTGGTCAGATATTGATATGCAAGGGAGAAATGAGGTCCTACATTTTAAAGTGTCCGCTGAAGGCTGAAGCATTGTGGAAGACTGACTCAACCAAAAAGCATCGCATCTCCCCGGGCCTCATGATCGCACCAATGAGGATATACTCCACATGGGCTCTCCAGATCCTCCACCCTCCCACCAATCCGGCTCCTTCAGATCCACCACCAGCCGTTTGCACGGGTCGCAGGCGACCCGAGATCTCTCCCTTTGCAGCGCCTGCCAATCCGTGCGCTTCTGCTGCCGTCAGCACCAACGCCGCTTCTGGCCGAGGCGACCAGAAGACCCACGCGGCCACGGGGCTGCGCGGCTACGGCCACGCGGTTCCGTGGCTTCGGTAAGTGGTTCGGAACGTGTCAGACTAGGCAAAGGAGTTCGTGGGATCAATATGGATCAATGTTGTTTTTTTTTCATCTATAATCTATATAATTATAGGTCTCCCAGCAAGGCTTTTAGCTGTGTTGGCTGTGGGATGATGCCAGAGATGCTTGCATCACCAGCATGTTGAAATGTCGATTAGAAGAGGAAACGGCGAAGATCCTTGTAGATCCTTTGTCCAAGATCCTCGAATGGGTCGAGGTGCGCCCAACGCCACCACACCAGCCACACCCACTTCTATACACTCCCGAAAAACCCGAAAACTATGCCCCCTGGAAGATTGTTTTCCTCTATATACATATATATACATATTATACCAACCAGTGGTTTTCAGGGTTCATCTTAGTCTTATAGGTTGTACCTGATGTACTTTCCAGATTGGACCTCCGCTGCGCAGGCATCAGGCTGTGTGCCGATTCATTGCCTCCGTCAAGGGCGGCTTGCTTCAACAGGCGATGCATGGTCAATGGATGTCAATGGTTTGATTTGGACGTTTGTTCTGTGAAGAACAGAGACTCGGGACTCTGTGCTCTATATATATACTATTATATACTGCATTTACATCATCATAACAGAACAGAAGAAGACTTCAGAACAGAGACTCTGGACTCTGTATTATATATATACATCATCATCTATACACCAATGGTTCGGAAGATGTTTTGTTGGGTCAAAAGGCTGTGGGAGATGTTGCTTCCTTTCGTGGGAGACCCTCCTCCTTTCGTGTTTAGATGTTGGACCTCGAAGCATGCGCTACCTCGATTCGCAGACCCGTCACGAGACCCCAAACATCTCCGCATGTCGCATGTCTCGGTCTGCCAGGTGGCTGGCAAGAAGTGGGTGCAAGAGGCCTTACCTGAGGTGCGCCTGCGCACCCAAATGCTGTTTGTTCAGAAGTGTCTCCCCAAACGCATCGAGCAGGGACGTGTGGCGTGAGAGACCCGGAGACGAACTATAGAGTGATGTCCATTGATGTCCTATGTTCGTGGAGTATGCGGAGTTGCTGAAAAGACCTTCGATCGGCAAGGACCGAATTGGGAATTGGATGTATTAGAATAGGGAGACCTCCCGAGACCTCCAAATGGAGAAAGGACATAGACCAAAACCTATTGGTTGGGATGTCTCCCTATTAAAGCACACACCCAGACGGATCTCGGGAGTGATGGGATGTGATTCCGTCGCATCGCCCGGGATCCGCACGAGGTGACGTACGTGGCAACAACTGCGACTTACCGGTCGTACTGCAGTGCGTACCCCCCGCAAACGAACATGAAATCTAAGAATTGACCGGTGGTTTCGACCATTTTCCTCTACAACCCAGTGGTTTTGGGGTTCCATGTTAAGCTGCAGGGGAGTAGACCAAGATGTTTAACAAATGATTGTCTGTAGATTTATAGTTCCTGAGGGTGTTTTGGGGTCCTCTCAGCTATAGAGGCCCACGCAATCCCACGCACCTAGTTAGATAGACCATCAATGGTACCACTGCAAGGGAATATAGAGTCTATACGAGAGGAGTTTCATGGAGTTTGTGTCAATGTCTATTCTCAATAGATATAATAGATTCCAGGATGATCAACAGTTTGTCGATGTTATTTTTAATACGGGAAAAGGTTATGTTTTCCGTGTTATTCCACGATGATCGATAGTTAGTTTGTCGATGTAGGTCGATGTAATAGATTGTACAGTAATAGTAAAATATCAATACGCGAGTCGGTTCTTTTTTTTCTGTGTATATCTCAATCGATTCCAGGATGATCACTATAGCTTGTTGTTGTTTGAAAGTCTTGGCACGGCACGACCATTTAGAGGTCGTGTTTGCTTGCTTTTCGCTTGGCAGGTTGTTGATGTTTGGACCAGGTCAAGGTGGGGCCTGTGGGTGACGTGGAGGTCAGCTTGGCATCTATGTTTATGTTTTTTTCAACAGCGACCGTGAGAAACACCATGAAACATCTAGACCTATTAGATAGCTAGGTCCGACAGGATGTCAGCACGTGTTTAGTATATCTATTGGCAATGTTTGCCTACTGAGTGTACTGCTTCTGCATGGCTGGGGTAGGGCAATTTGTAGTTATGGTGCAAGTTGGTGCAATTGTCATTCTTTGGAATCGTTTCATTTTTTGACTGTAGACAAATTGATCGCGAGTGACAATGCATCCAGGAGAAGCATGTCGAAGTCATTCGGACATCGCAATGACATCATACAGTATCATACAATCATACATACCTAGCACTTCCAATGGGTGCCCAATGGAGACCTATAGGTAGGGTGGGGTTGTCCATTGGTGACCCGTTGGAAGCACTTGGTAGTAAGTACGCCAGGAGTCACAGGACGGGGTGCCGAACTTGGAGGATAGTCCAGAACATCCACTCACTGGATGGGACGAAAAACAACCTCCAACATGTGACTCCTGGTATGAAGCCTTCAAGGCGTTTGGTATTTTGGTCACAATCATCTTGTGGGCTACCAGGCTACCACTATTGTGGTAGCCTAGGGATGATATTCCGCATGGGCCTCCAAGGCAGAAGTGGAACCTGGCCACAAACGTGGGGATGCAGGCCCTAACAGAATCTATATGGCTGGCTTGCAGTAGCAAGATGTAGCAAGACAACTACTGCGAAAGAGTTGCGAAAGGAAATGGTGAAAGAACAACCGGTTAGAAGACGTTTTTTCTCCTGGTTTTGAGCAACATAGATTGTTCTACCCTGTCCAATATCGGTGTTTCTTATCACCCAGCCGCGACCCGTTCGGCCCCTGCGTTCAGTAGGGGTACCCGAATCTGGAGGGGTCCGGACCCTCAAATCCCTATGGTGTTTCTTATCAGATGGCTGTGGGTCAAAACCCGGGCACCCTGGTTGACCCCGGGTCAAATGAACAGATCCCTTCATAAGGGATGTCAATTTGGTTGGGAAGGTTTTGACTCACAGCCAGATGTTCAACAGATTTGAGACATTCCAAAGGGAACTCGGCTCGGTGAGTCACGACGTCACATTCACCCCATCGTCACGACGGAGGGGTCAGCATCCGGAGCCTTGGGAGCTGGAGCAACTGGTGCATTTGCCCCACTGCAGGGTTTGCAGCAAGGCATGTGGGTGGTTTTTTCAGGTTTTTGGGTGGAGAGATGGAAAAGCCGGGCGAAGGAGGGGGACAGCAAAGCAGATGAAAGAACGGGGTTACCCGGAAGTGGGTGAGATTATTAGAGTCATTAGAGTTCATCGCTTGGCATTTCGCGTGACCATGAGCCCAAACCTCCAGTCCCCGCCAACAGAGGTATGTTCCACCCTCTAAGGATCGCCTCCAAAACAACGCTGTCAAAACAAAGACGGCACGGCGAACGCTTATAAGGCATGTCGCTGAGGCCACAAAGGAAAGCAGCAGCAGCAGCTGCTGCTCCACATCGAGTTCATTTTCTGACTCTGCCTCATTTGCTGGTGAATGAAAAGTCCAATGTTTGTGCACACTGAAGAGTGAAACCCAATGGCAGCATATCAAAAAACACACTAGCAACGCACAAGCTCCATGGCGTATGCTTCACGCAGACATGCGTCAACATGCTTCAACTACCACTGTCTTGCGTAGGTAAACACTGTGGTGGCGTAAGCACGCGTAGGCTCCTAGCGTAGGCACCGACAAATGATAACATTCCACATACCCCAAAAACGCTGCTCAATTAATGATTGTTATGATATGTTACGAAATATAGAACGAAATATTAAGATTCATCTACAAGTTCAGCTACCATTGCTCATCATCATTTGATGTTTTCAGACCGTGGATCCAAGTTCGCGATCCGGTGGTCGGGATCCGATCGGATGGCCGTTCTTATTCCGCCTCATCGTGGGCCAGAGCGGCTGTTTGGAAGTGTTGGTTGGTTTTGGTTGCAGTGTTGATTGGAGTGGCTTCAGCCTTTAAACTTAAGCAGGGTTTTCCCTCCGGGTCCCTTTAGTGTTGTTCGAAAAGCACAAAGCTCGAAGTCATGAGGGCCTTGGTCTTAAAAGGAGAGTACCTGGATCCTCATCTCGACATCTCTATAGCTGGACATAAATGCATGTCATCATGAGATTCTTTTCTTCAGCTTAGGTTTGGGAGCATTTGGTGCATGGAGCTGGAAGCTCTTTCTCACTCAAGTTGGAATGTGCTACATGAAGATCAACATGTGGAATTCTGGGCTCTTTCTCGCCCACCGAACGACCCCCAGCGAACAGCCAGGCCCCGGCCACGTTGCTGTGCGAGATTTGTTCTCAAGTGGCCTACTGCTCGAAGGCCGGATCGGACGAGTGGGAAGTCCGGACGGCAGAGCCAGGAAGGGAGGATCGCCTACCCCCTTGCGGGGTATGAAACAGGGGGACGGCTAGGAAATGTAACCTACACTTTTTGGGAGGGGAGGGGAGGGGAAAAGATGTTAAAACAGCTGATTGAGTGAAGTTTTTTGAAAATAAAATGAAACAGAATAAAACCAGATTTTGAATATGGTTGATTTCCTCAGTTTAATCAACCATATCAAAATCGAAGCAGGCAAAGCATCATTACCTTATTCAATTTATACAATCAAAGCAGTCAAAGCATCATTACCTTATTCAATTTATAAAATCAAAGCAGTCCATCATTACCTTATTCATTTTTATCAAACCCCATCTACTGACCATTGCCTAAATTTATGTGATGTTAGGGACTTGTATGCGATGCCACAAACACAAACTGATATACATAGTTCCTATTGAGGATGAACATACTAAAATAAATATTAAGATATATAGGTAAGTATATATATACCATATGCGTTGTTACTTTGTAAGTAGTGGAGCTGAAATCCCGATGACGAATGAAACCTTTGCTTTTATTTGGAACGGTTTTGGCAACAAAGAACTCAATGACAGCGAAACGTCTTCTAGTTTGAAGAAAGCTATGAAGCAAAAGCCCACAAAACCCCAATGGAGAAGGCAGCACGACGGATACTACAATAGAAAACCGAACGACGAACAATATTTCCAAAGATATTACCAAGAGAAGACGAAACGACCGTGCGTATGCGATATATGCGGTTCTGCCATGAGCTGCAAGTCAAATCTGGTAAAACACAAGAAAACCAAAAAGTGCCAAAGGTGTTTAGTGTAAGTTCATTATGATTTTATGATGTAAGAAAATATCAGAAAAATATAATCTAATTTTTTTAGTGATAAAATTGGCAAAAGAAAAATTGGCAAAAGAAAAGGTATTGGAAAAAATATATTACGATGTGGAGGAGGGCTTCGGTTCGGTGAGGGACTTGTAAGAAAACTTGGCAAAATTTTATAGGTTTCAGCAGTTTACCCTTCTACCGTTGACTTATTTTTAGAGATGCCCCATCCTAAAACCTAAAAAATCCAAGCCCAAACATGCTTAGCGTGCAAACAGTGAAACTTGAGTTTTGTCCCAAACCAATCCAAAACCGCGCCAATTCTCCCCAAACCGAGCCACTTTTTCACTAAAACAGAGCCGCTTTGTCCCAAAAACGGAGGCAGTTCTTCTCAAAAACGGGGCATGGTTTTCCCCAAAACCGGAGCATGTTTTTCACAAAAACGGAGTCTGTTTTTCCCAAAGGCGGTGATGGATTTTCCCAAAGTCGGTGGCTGATTTTGTGCAAAATGGATGGTAGATTTTCCCGATTGGTGGCAGGTCTCCATGAAGCTTGGATGTGTGGATTGATTTGTGCCATGCTCGTGGCTTTTCTTCTGAGAGCAGGGTTTTGCAATCCTTTCCTGATGTGCGACCGAACAGCACAAACATCATTTGGTTGATTTTGGTTGTATATATGTGTTTTACAAGATATAGATGATGTTTGACATAAACATAAATATAAAGATGTATATGCATCAACCTTGGTGTCATGCACATACATTATACTTGTCTAGACCTGCAATGTTCCCATGGCAAAACGCCGCTTCAAGATCATTGCACTGGCTTTGTCCATTCTAGTTGGCAAGTTCTTCTTGGCTTTCTTTGAGATACCTCGAACGACGCAAGACAGATACAAGTGTTCAAGCAAGACTGCAAGGTCCGCAGAGACTCCTTGGTTGGCAACATTTCTTGACCCAATTGTCAGTGTGGCAGGGATATCATTGAAGGACATTGGAAAGCAAGTTTTGGATGCAAACAACAATTTTCGTCCGATTGAAAAGCTGAAACTATTGAAGAATGTCAACGATGCCCACCACCACGCAAGACTCCTTGCGGATAAACTGATGGATAGAGCCAAGATGTCACAGGAAGCCCGAAACATCTTTGTGCCCAACATCTCAATACCACTCATCCCCGTGAATGCCACAGAGTTTCAGCATTTGGTGACGAGTGTGCTATCCGATGCGACCTCCACGGGAGTCTCTGCCATTCATGCTGAACCCGGCACGGGCAAGTCCGTTGCGGTAGCTTTAGCCATGCTGACGTGGGCAAACCACAACCCAAAGTGCATCACTGTTTTGATACGAGGAAGCCTGAAACTTCTCAAAGATTTCTTTCGAGTTAGCGATGAAGCCTACGTGCCGGCTGTTGCAGAAAACCTTTTTCCAATCTTGTCCGATGCGGGAGTTCGCTTGCAAGTTGTTCTTGACAACATCTTTGACAAGGAACTCGGTGAGCGTGGGGAGATGTTGATGAGCCTTGCCCGCGCCGCCTTCGAACATGGACAAGTTGTGGTCGTCACGCAGTCGCGTGAAGTCGCTGAGGAAGTTGGTTTGCTCAATGGGGCACGAACACGTGTATCGCCACAGCAGAAGTGCAATGTCAGCAAGTAGAGATGGAATGAGATACAGGCATACAGACTCCTTCTGAATTTGAACGCAACTGCAAAGCTGAAGGACTGGAGAAAGTCCCGCAAAACAAGGTGGTGGCGCAAGATGTTACATGCATTCACGAGAACCACCAAGGAGTCGGAGGACACAGTCCAGAGAGCCTTAAATGAATCCCTCAAAGAGTTCAAGCAGGATGAGGCTTGGGTGCAGGAGAATTTGGAAGGGGCAAGGATGCCTGACGGTGGATGGAAGCCAGTGGATATCAAGCAATTTCTGCTATCAGGCATCAAACCAGTCTTAATCCCAACTGTTGCAGGCGGGGACTGAAGGGAAAGGGCTGGCTTGGAAGAACATCACATTAAGAATGTGAGAAAGCATTCTACTTGCAGACGAGCAGGGATGTTTTGTTGTTTTAATGTAAAGTTTTCGTTTTTTTTTTTTCCGCTTTGTCGCAAACGCTCCTGATTATACACAATAGCTGACCAAAGTAAGACCTTGCAAAGACCCAACTTGTCATCTTTGTGCCCTGCAAGGTGCCACCTCTCCAACTCAGACCAAAGCTGTTTGGGTGAGGCAACTGCAAAAGGACTGACAACAGTTGCAGACAACAAGGTACACAACTCATCTTTAGAATTCCTTTGGTAAACGCTCGTTTCGGTTTAGGACAACGGATTCCGAACGCTCCCCACCCCAAGTTCAAAATGCATCCAAGTGAAAAAGAAGGATGGAATTGGTTCGATTGACAGGAAGGATTTAGACTAAAGACTTTGTATGATTTCCTGCCATGCCCTTGTTCCTTTGCTATGTCCTTTTGACTGTTCCCACCTCAACATCTCGCCTTTTGAGTGGTACAGCAAGTGTTGAACAAGCAGCCTTGTCATCCCTAGTTCCATTCATGTGTTGCTTTGCACGGTTCGTGTGCTAAAAACGGTGTTGATTGGTCTTGTGAATCAGTAGGCGTGTGCTCCATCAATTCTCCCACTCGAGCGTCAAAAGCATTGTTATGTGCAAGAGCCACTGCAACAGTTTATGCCTTTGTTCCCTTTGGAAGTTCCTCTTACTAGTGTTAGGTTAAAATACAAGTGGCTTGTTCAGCCTTCTTTCTGGCATCCTTTGCCTTGTCACGGTTTGTTTCAGCACGGTTGGGGCGATTGCATGGTTGTTTATTTGGATGTTTTCATATTCAACTTCGAAAGGACTTAGACGCAACATATTGTTTCTTTGCCCTTTGCTTATTCCTTTGCCATGTTCTTTTGAGGAAAGTAAATGTTTTATGCACAAAAACAAGCAGTAGCGTATTTATTCCTCAGGATTTGTTGAATGATATTTTCTCAACATCTTCCTCAATTTGATAGAGAGGATTTAGACTAAGACTTTGTATGACACGTTTTGCCATGCCCTTGTTCCTTTGCTGCGCCCTTTTGTCAGTTGTAGGAAAAACTTGTGAAAACGAAAAGTCAAGAAAAGTCCTACTCAACATCAAAGACGTTGAAGCTTGCAAACCTGTTGAAGAAGCAACCTTGTTTTAGACCCCTATGTTTGTTTTGTTTGTTCCTCTGCAAAGTTCCTGTGCTAAAGCCAGTGTTGATTGGTCGTGTGAATAAAAGTAGGGTTGTGCTCCATCAGTTCTCCCACTCAAGCATCAAAGGCTTGTAATTTGCAAAAGTCAATGCAACAGTTTATGCCTTTGTTTCTTTTGGAGCCTTTGACTAGTGGTAGGTTAAGAACAGAAGTGGTTTGTTCAGCTGAAACTTCATGAAGAAATTTCCCTCAGCCATTTTCACATCCCAACGTCAAAATTCTTGCGTAATGCATTGCGTTCCTTGTCATGTGCATTGTTCTTTTGCACTTGCTTATCGAAAGGCGCAGACTTTGCTGCCGCCCACCGCCTGTTGCAATTGCAGGATGGTGAGACATTCAAGGAGATTGGCAACGCTTTCAAAATCACGACTGATGTTTCCGATGTCGTTTGCTCAGCCACTCCATAACGTGGAATGCAAACTTTGCTTACCAAGTTGGAGAACGTAATGACCTTAGTTTTGCTATTGTGTTTTTTGCTGGTTCGTCATGCTTCATGTAAATGTAATAGAGTTGCATTACATTGCTTTCGTCGGATGCTTCGTTCAAGTCGTCATCACGTTGCTATACAAAGCCCTTAGCTCAGTTTGATTCATTTCAAAGGTGGATGACCTTAAGAAAGTCCAGAGCTCAGAGCTTGTTGTTCAATCAAACTTGATGCTGTGCCTTGGTGAACGTTGAGTGAAGAAGACAAACAAAGCAGGCAGCGATGAAAGCCAGAACATGTTTTGTTCAACGCGTGTGCAAGTGCATGGTGGTTATTGTCGTTTTGCCGTGAGGCAATTAAGGCAGAGAAGCCGAACAAAGTGAAGTGTGACGCAGATGAAATTTATATGTTTAGCCAACAGGACGAGTCGCTGTTTATGCCACCAACTCGTTTGCTAGTTGTATTAGCTTCAATTTCTCAGCTTTTGTTCACTCGGCTCAGCGCTTTGCGTTGCAATGTCTTTGCTCACTTTTCACTCTTCTGTCAATCGCTGGTCAGGTGAATTTGTCCAATTGTTTTCTTTCACAACACCTAACCCAACCCCTTGCACACCACCGTCTCAACTTGCCTTTGCAGCATTGTGGTTTGCCAGTTTGCTCATCGCGGATTTGCAGGATGGAAGTTGGATTAGAGAAGAAAAGATGTCGGCAAGCCTTCGCGACACGGATGAGCCCATCACTTGGTGTTTTGTTTTGAGCAGCCTTTGACCATGCAGGGCTTCAAACTGATGTCAATGTTACAACCTTCTGATGTATTATTTTTTTGCCGCCTCTGAGTTGCGCTTGGTTCGAGAAACAGCTGTTTTGACCACACTTCAAGTTTGTGTTTTTTCGATCCAGTTTTAAGGACAGATTGCTATGGCTTCACATTGCCATCAGCGTGAGTGCTTTTCTCAGCAGCGTTACGCCTAGCGTTCCACTTGTCCTGCCCTTCTGTGGCTGAGGTGAAACCAATTGAGAGCAAGGGTTCCCAATAGTTTCACCAAATTCCATTTTTGGAGTAAATGTAGAGTGGATGTCGCTGTGGCATCACCGTGCATCACTCACAAGATATGAGACTTGACACTGCGTTGACACTCTTGTCCAGCAGGTTGTGCACGCAGCGGGTGCAGAAACAGTGAACCAAAAAGCTGGGAGGGGGCAAAGTTAGGCAAAGTTGTTGTTACAAAAAACAATTTTGGGGGGGTTGTTTCCCCACCCAAATCCAACCGGATGGAAGCAGGTGAACCCTTATTTGTCGAGGGTCTCCCCGAGGGAGAATGTTGGCGTGCCGAAAATGAAAGTGGAAGGAGTGACCGAGCATATTCTCAAGAGTTTGTGGGTGTTCGTTGATGACATGGAATGACCCCCCTGCAAACATGCTGAAACAATGTAATGCATCTACTGTACTTGGGGATCCTGAGAGTCCTGAGAGACGATCTCGGTGATCCCAACAACAATCAGCCTGGTCCCAGCACCTCCCCCAAAAAGAAACAGGCCTTTATAGGACCAAGGTGCGATATGATGAAGAAGGTGTGAAGGGCCTCCCGGCCTCCGCCTTTACTTGCTTTACCAGATCCAGGTCCCACAGTGCGTCCATCGACCTAAATTGCCCATAGCGTTTGTCCCATCTGGTTCCCACCAAGCTGAATTGGCCTGACGCGGAGCAAACAATGCATTTTTTTGCTTTTTTGGGGGGGGGGCAGTATGACTCATGATCGAGCATCAGAGTCTAAACGGAACCAAAGCCACATAATCGAAGCTTCATTCATTACACAGAAAAAGAACAACGTGATGCAGTATGGCTGTGTATGAATATGTATGTTTTTGTTGATTAACGTCTATATAGTAATATAGTAGTCTATATACAGCATGATGAACTAGGTTGTGTATGAATGTTTTGTTTTTTTTAGATTGATAAGGTCTAATCATATATACATATGTTATATGACCGATCGGTCAGGACTGCGAACGCATGGACGAGGAGCACCCAGGTAGCTGGCAGTGTCGCCAGGCTGGGAGCCGAGTGAGACCACGAGCAGGGACGAGTAGTCAATCGGTATGAATTGGAAGGTTGTTGGGCCATGATCATCAAGGGTGTCTACATGCGTGGTATACCTCAAAGTTGCAGAGATGAAGCTGAAATGCAGTGAGTCAGTTGTTTTGTCCTCAGCTCAAGGATGCGTTGTTAAATTTCACTTGAAAAACAAGATGGAACCCACGAACCCGAATGCAAACAAGTTCCATATGCCCAAATGACACTCTTTACGGACACTCTTCTGGGACACTCTTGTGGGATACTCTTGTGGGACACTCTTGTAGGAAACTCTTGTGGGTCACTCTTGTAGGACACTCTTGTGGAGCACTCTTACAGGACACTCTTGTGGGACAGTCTTGTAGGACACTCTTGTGGGACACTCTTGTAGGACACTCTTGTGGGTCACTCTTACACACTCTTGTAGGACACTCTTGTGGGACACTCTTGTAGGACACTCTTGTAGGACACTCTTGTGGGACACTCTTGTAGGACACTCTTGTGGGACACTCTTGCGGGACACTCTTGTAGGACACTCTTGTGGGACACTCTTGTAGGACACTCTTGTGAGTCACTCTTACGGGGCACTTTTGTAGGACACTCTTGTGGGACACTCTTAAAGGACACTCTTGCAGGTCACTCTTATGGGACGCTCTCTTGTGGGACACTCTTGTGGGTCACTCTTACACGACACTCTTGTAGGCACTACGAACCCAGACATACATACATACCTATATTTTTGTGGGTATGTATGTTTCCTCAGACATACATACATACCTATAATTTTCTCGGTATGTATGTTTCCCCCGACATACATACATACCTATAAATTTCTAGGTATGTATGTTTCCCCAGACATACATACATACCTATAGTTTCTAGGTATGTATGTTTCCCCAGACACACATACATACCCTTGACATACATACATACATACCTATAGTTTCTAGGTATGTATGCTTCCCCAGACATACATACATACCTTTGACATACATACATACCTCTAGTTTCTAGGTATGTATGTTTCCCAGACATACATACATACCTATAATTTTCTGGGTATGTATGTTTCCCCAGACATACATACATACCTATAATTTTCTAGGTATGTATGTTTCCCC